AAGAGGACTCTGAATAATACTAATAGAGGATATATTGGCTCTAATATAAAATTTTAACAAATTTTATTCAAAATCTACAACTCTGATTAGTTGAACTTTATTTTGACTAATTAGAGTTGCAGAAAAGTGAATAATGCAGCAATATAACCTTTGCTTGTATTGTTCAGAGTCCTGCTAAAAGTAAGGAAGGAACTGATAAAAAATCTGAATAATGAAATAGTTCCAAGCAGTGTTGAATAATGATGTCATGTAAATAATATGACTTATATGATTTGTCATATTACTATATCATATGAAATGTCATATATTAATAATATGACATGATCTATATCATATAGCATATGATTCATATAATTTTATATCATATGAAAATATTATATAACATTATGATATTGTCATCATCCAACACTGGTTCCAAGTATAGGTACCAGAGTTGTTGTAAACCAATTAAGAGCATGAGTATATAATGGAAAACTAATTAGAAAGTTTGTAGCTTGAGATACGAATCAGGTTATAGTAGTGCTCTAAAAGACAGCTTGAGATATAAACTCGGTAATGACAATATAACAGGTACAAACTAGGAAGATATTACAGAACATGCAGGTGAATGCATGTGTGGAACATATACTACTCTGTTGAGCTTATCTTCGAGGATAGTAAAGAGTCCTAAGTTGACTAATTATATAGTAGTGTTGCAAAATCTATGTTTGAATAGTAAATTACACCTGTGTTAAAATAAGCACTAGGCCAAATATACTAAGACTAAAAGGTTTAAATAGGTATCTTTATAGTTGGGATACAGATATAGCAGATAGTGTAGAACCTTAGCATAGCACAACTGCTTTGGGTAGACTACTTAAATTAGATATCAAAAGTGTATATATGGCTTAATATACCTTTATTACAATGTATAGTGTCTGAACTTGACTTAATAAAATTTGCTAACCAAGAAGGTCTCCTTTAATTAAAAAAAAAAATTAAAAAAATAATAGATAAATTAGAAACAAACATAGTATAATAGTTGGGACAAGTATAGTGTAGTAGTTAGAACAAGTATAGTATGAGAGTTAAAACAAACATAGCATAATAGTTGAAATAAGTTTAGCATAATAGTTGGGATGAATATAGTATGATTATAGTAGATAGATAGATTTGAAACAAATATAATATAAGAGTTTAGTTAATATATTCAAAATAAATATAGCACAAAATTTAGATAGATTTAAAATATAAATAAGAAATTTTTTTAAAAATATAAAAAAACTTTCAAATAATAAAAGTTTAAATTTTTTTTCTAAATTTTTTATTATAAAATTTTTTCTTTAAACTTTTTAAATTTTATATGTTTTTGTCTATTAAAAAAATCTTTACTTTTAATACAAGTCTTAATTTTTACAAGTTAATCACTAAAAGTTAAATAATAAAAGTTGTAATTTTTAATCTAAACTTTAATATTGTATTAAGAATTATATTTTTAAAATTAATATTTAAAAAATTTGTCAAAAATAGTAAAAACTTTTTTGACTAAAAAATATTTTATTTTTAGTTTATAAGTAATTTAAATTTTTTTTCTTATAATATAAATATAAATACTATAAAAAGATAATCCTTATTTTCAAATATTTATTATATAAAATTTTATTTAAAATATTTTAAATATTAAAAAAAATAAATCATATCTAAATTTATAGCTAAAATTGTTATATAAACTCTACAGTTTAAGGGATATGGTTAAATTTTTAATATAGTATTATAGTAGTTATATAGTTTAAAATTAATAAATAAAAAAAAAAAAAAATTTAAAAACAAAATGAAAATAAAAAAGCTTAACAACTAACAATTGTACTTTAGAAATTTTCAGAATTAATTAATTGACAATCTATTTTTATAAAAGATACAATTAGTACTATACATTAATGATATATTTCTAGACTGTTATATAAAAAAACTGGAACTATATCAAAAATCAATAAAGAGAATTTGAAAATCAGAAACTAGCTTGGCAAAACCCAAGTTGAAAGTAGTAAGGATTACAAAAGTCTATGGAACCAAACCAAACTAAAAACTAATGAACTAGGAGAATTAAATATCATAATCCTATAATAGAGGAATTTACCAACTTGGTTATCAAAGTCACACTAGAGAAAATGAACATGTGTTTTAGAAGTGTGTACTAAGAGAAAGGAGTTTGTAAAGCATTTAAAGCCTGAGCAGACCAACTTTACCAAGCTAAGGGCAGTGTTATTTATCACCTGATTTTTTTTTATCAGAGGCTTATCTCTCTCTAGTTTTTAATATATAAATTATCAGATCTTATATATAAAATTCCAATTTTTTTGACCTTCTCTCTTTAAAAAATTACCTGATAATTGTTAGCTCTCTAACTAAATTGGTAGTTTGAGGAAACTGAAAATATAGAAAGAGAAAAATAGATATAAAGTAGATATCTAAATTTATATAATCTCAAACAAAAATAAATAATAGAAGACTAATTAGAAAAGATATAGCTTGAAATACAATTATGATATAGCAGTATTTCAAAAGATAGTATGAGATACAAATATGGATAGCAGTATGACAAGTACTAATTGAAAAGAAGTTTCTAAATATATAGATATTATATGCATAAAACATAAACCACTCTATCAGGTTTACTTTTGAGAATAGTTAAGTATTTTAAGACAGGCTAATTAATTTAGAAATAGTTGCAAAATATATTATTATATATTAAACACACTTATAAAAGGTTTCTTTTGGCTTAAAATTAGATTATAATTAGAAAGTTTAAATAGATAACTCTATCATTAAGTTATAGATACAGCAAATAGTATTTTTTAATTTGTAATACAAGCAAACTTGCTTGAGTTTTTATTTTTTTTAATAAAATTTTAAATATTAATTTTAGCAATATATTTTCTAAATAAAATATTTAATTTTAGATTTGTTTTATTAACTTTATTAAAAAAATTTTTTAAAATTATTAAAAAGCTTTAATGTAATAAAAGTTTAAAGTTCTTGTATTAAAATTTTTACTATAAAAATTTTTTTTTAAATTTTTTAAATTTTACATCTTTTTTATTTATAAAAAAATCTTTGCTTCTAAATAAAGTTTTGATTTTTATTAATAAATCACCAAAAGTATAATAATAAAAGTTGTAATTCTTTGTATTAACTATAATATTGTTTTAAGAACTATTTACAGTATTTAAAATTGATATTTAAAGAGTTCATTAAGAATTTATAAATAATTTTTTTGATTAAAATTTTTTTTTAAACTTATCTATTATTAGCTTATAAGTAATTTAAACTAATTTTACAAAAAAAGTAATCATTATTTTTAAATATAATTGTACAAAGTTTTATTTAAATATTTTAGCATTTTAAAAAAGTAAATTAGAGCTAAAAAAGTGCAATAGTTTGATTTATATACTTGCAGTTAAATGTATATTTTAAACTGCTATTATTATTTACTCTTGCAAAGATTTACAATTCAAATCTAATACTTACTTCTTGTACTTTGTTACAAATTTTTTTTGAAGTTTTTTATTCTTAAATTAGCTAGTTTAGAAATGTTAATTTGTCTTGGCTTTAAATATTATATAGTTTTTATACTCTTGGTATATACTTCTAGAGTATATATATTTTTTTCTAATAGCCAGGTTGGTAAATTTCTATTTTTCTAAAGATCTAATTATCTGCTTTTTTAATTTGGTTTTCTTTACTATTTTTTTTTCACAATATCAAAGTTAGTTACCTTCCCAACTTAAGATTTTTTAAATAGATTTTCATCTTCTGTATATTTTTAACATTTACAGTATATGTTCTGTCAAATTTATTATAGGTTTGTGCTACTCTGGTTAGTTTGTATTCTTTTGTATTATATAAATATCTTGGGATCTTTCAAATACTTATGTCCTGATACAACTCAAGCTACAGGTCTCATGACTCAATATATCATAAAGGTGATTATACAGTAGTTATCATACAAGTAGTACAGGCTAAAATTCAAGTCCCTTATACTAAACTTGATCCATAAAAGCAATTTTGCAAATAAGCACTCAAGATTTTTGATCCATTCTGTATATTCATTTACTGAAAAATAATAGGTTTTCCCTTTTTCTGTCTCTGATATCTCTGGGTTATTATCTACAACATCCCATACTTGGCCAATGCTGTTGATTGCATCTAAAGTAAATTCGAGTATGTTGCCAATCTCATCATTGCTAATATCCATATCAAATTCCTCTTTAATGTCAAAAATATCATCGATATACGAAATTGCCATTATAAATAAAATATGAATAGCAATAAGTACTGTTAATATTTGAGTACTTGATCGTGTTCCTCAAATCCGTTCAAAAAGAACGGAATTAAGGATAAAAGAAAGTGGAGTTATTTTATTTGTTCCAAAAAAGAAATCCCAAAACTGATACGCATGGACAGATTTTGTATCAGTATTGAGAGGCTATCAGATTTGAAAACATTATAAATTACTGTTGAACCTCCCAAAACAGATACGCACGGTGAACACAGTATTGAGAGGTTATCATAAACTATTAGATTTATATAACGGAAACGGACTTGGTAGACTAATCTTTATCAGAGGATCGATTTTGGGAGGGTCAACAGTACTAAATGTTTTACAAGCTAGTCTAGTCTATGTTTACACTACCCTGCCTCAAAGAGCACGGAACTTTGTCAAAAGCCAAGTAGAGAAGAATGCCTTTGCTTTTGCAAATGAAATTGTTAAGGCCTCCAAACCTACTTGAAGGGTTCAACGGATCTATGTAGGGAAGTTGATCACAGCACACAAGGAGAATGATATCATTACTTGAATCCGATAAGTCGAACATTCATTCATTCTTTTTGAACCCATGAAATTAAACACACACCAAACATTTGTGTAACGTAATACGCATATCTGAGATGTTAAGTTAGATTCTAAAGCAACTTTAAATTAAACTGACATCCTTTCTCGCCTTCTTAAGGAATCATTTATAATGGGCCATTTAATGATTTTAGCTACCTGCTCTCTTAATCAATGGGCTTTGGATTTTGAAGGCAATTTAGAACGTATTTTAGAAAGTATTCGCGTCGCAAAGCAAAGAGGCGCGACACTTCGCGTCGGTCCGGAACTTGAAATAACGTATACGATAAATATTTTTGTATTACTCTTTATTTGCGCCTTATCTTATCGATCATATGCTTTATTGCTTTAACAGTGGATACGGGTGTTTTGATCATTTTCTTGAAGGTTTATCATTTTATCTAAATCTTTGTCAGCTAAATAATTTACTAATTCACATTGACAATTTGATAATGAATGTGTTCCGAACGAATCATATAGGAGATACATATTTACATTCTTGGGAAATGTTAGGCAAAATATTACAGTTTGAAGAAGCTAAAGACATGCTACTTGATATTGGGATGTAAGCTAAGCAAACCAAATTTTGCATTAACACGAAATTTCTTCTATATTATCAAATTTATTATACAAATGTTACAATTTTTCTCCTTTAGGCCAGTGTCTCACAAAAATGTTAAATACAATTGTCGTGTTATCATTCATAATTGTAAAATATTATTGATCCGTCCTAAAATGTTTTTAGCTAACGATGGCAACTATCGTGAAATGAGATATTTTACCGCTTGGTCTCCAGCCCAACACGTTGAAGATTATTATCTTCCAAGGATTATTAGGAATATTACAGGGCAAGTAAGTTCTTTAATAGATACACTATTTTACATGTTCCTTTTTTTAATAATCATTTTCATCAAAAGACTGTAGTTCCCATTGGCGACGCGGTAGTTTCTACTATTGACACTTGTGTTGGTGTGGAATTATGCGAAGAACTTTTTACACCTAATAGGTATATTTCCTTTTGGACGTTATTGTCATAGAATTACACTTCTAATATTTGCATATTATAGTCCTCATATTAGTATGGGCTTGGATGGTGTAGAAATTATCACAAATAGCAGTGGTAGTCATCATGAATTACGCAAACTTTATAGACGTATTGATTTAATCAAGGAAGCAACGTTGAAGGTACATCAACCGAATTTACTCAAAAGTCATCGACTAGTAGTAATAATCTAATATATTTACATTACTTGTAAGAATGGAGGCGTTTATCTCTATTCTAATCAACAGGGTTGTGATGGCGATCGTCTTTATTATGACGGCTGTGCGTTGATTGCAGTAAATGGCCAAATAATTGCCCAAGGGTCACAATTTTCCCTTAAGGATGTGGTTTGTTCCTGATATGCAATCCTATTGTGCATTCCAAATATAAAACTTAATAATAAAATTATATTTAATTATATTTAAGGAAGTTATCACTGCGACCATCGACATAGAAGATGTTCGCTCATACCGCGGAATGAGCAGTAGGGGGATGCAGGCTGTTAACACAGATTCATATCAACGCATTGAGGCGCCTATTACTTTGTCTTCTGAAAAAATAAATCGTAAGCCACATTTTTCTCCTACGAAGCCTATTCAAGTGCATTATCATAAGCCGGAACAAGAGATTGCGTAAGGTTAATTTGAAATTCGGTCAATGATATGATTAGTATTAAAGTTCAACAATTATTTAGTTACGGACCAGCTTGTTGGCTTTGGGATTATCTCCGTCGATCAAAAACTAGCGGTTATTTTTTACCTCTTAGTGGAGGAGTAGACAGTTGCGCCACAGCAATTATTGTATATTCCATGTGTCGTCTTGTTGTTGAAGCCGCATCGAATGGGGGTAATTCAATATAAATTTCCTTTAATAACTGTACGATAATTAAGTATTTCTTCTAAATGATCGTTAGATAATCATGTCATTGTGGATGCGAGAAGGATTATTGGTGAAAAAGAAGGCTCAGATTATGTTCCCACAGACCCTAAAGAATTCGCAAGGTAATAAGCTAATGATATTTAGTGAATGTTGTATGGAATAGCGACTTAAAAAATATATTTTTCTAGTCGTGTTTTTCACACATGCTATATGGGCACAGTAAATTCAAGTAAGGAAACTCGTGAACGAGCAAAAAAGCTTGCCAATGCTATAAGCTGGTTTGTTAGAATTCTTACATATTTAAATTAGAATCGAATTAAGATGGCACTAATACTATAGCTCTGGATTGCTTCTTACAGTTATCATATTGATATGGATATGGACAATATTGTTTCATCCGTATTTACTCTATTTAATTTGGTTACAAATAAGACACCACGATTTCGAATCGATGGTGGTACGGATGCAGAGAATTTGGCACTTCAAAATGTGCAGGTATGATCACAATATGGTTTAATACATTGTACGTTCGATTGTAGCATGGAGTTAATTATGGACTTAATCTCATAAGGCTCGATTGAGAATGGTTCTTTCGTATTTGTTTGCACAACTTTTACCCTGGGTGAGAAACAAGAGTGGATCATTACTTGTTCTTGGTAGTTCTAATGTTGATGAATGGTAATTATAGATATATATCTATAAATTACTCCGTTATGAAGACACACACTTTCATAATTTTTCAAGTCTGAATCTTATTAAAGAGAGTCTTAGCGTTTGACACCCTGCTATATTAACTCTCATAAGAGTGTCATTATTAACGGATATATGTTATATTCTCTTTATACTAATAAATATAAAATTTTTCAAAAGTCTTCGAGGCTATCTAACAAAATACGACTGCTCAAGCGCGGATATAAATCCAATTGGTGCTATAAGCAAAAATGATTTGCGTAAATTTATCGATTATGCAAAAAACGAATTCGGCATTCCGATTCTGGATGAGTAAATATTTATTTCATCATTATTAATTATTGTTATTTAGAAACATGTATATGTGAATCCATCTTTATAGGTTTCTTAAAGCAACACCAACAGCAGAACTTGAACCAATCACTCATGAATATATTCAAGCTGATGAGGTGCGTACAAATATAATGTAATGTTTATAATATGGGTATTTATTTTTGAACCCGGACCAACTTTATATATGATGTACCGTAAACTGCCGGATAAAAGACCCGGATCTCTTACATTCCGCCAAAAAAATTAATTAGTAAAAAAAAGAAAATAATTAGTAAAAAATGAGGGTGGGTCTGATATATGGGGGGATCTTGTATCCGGCAGTTTACGGTAATAACATTTTGGTCTGGTTCAAAAATAATTACCCATATTGCATAGCGGAAGTTTAAATAAATTAATTGTTAAACATTTAAGGTTGATATGGGTATGACATATGATGAGTTGTCGATTTTTGGTAAATTGCGCAAGATTGAACATTGTGGGCCATTTTCAATGTTTTCGAAACTTGTTCATGAATGGGGAACAGAACTGAGGCCGACTGAGGTATTTATATTTCAGAATAACAAACTAAAATGATCTTGTTTGCTAATCAGACATCATTTATTGAAAAGGTTGCTGCCAAAGTCAAACGATTCTTCTACTATTATTCTATAAATCGACATAAAATGACTACACTTACGCCATCATATCACGCAGAAGCGTATAGTCCTGATGATAATAGATTTGACTTAAGGCCGTTTTTATACAATACGGCTTGGAGTTGGCAATTTAAAAAGATTGATGCACTCTCTAACGAAATGGAAGAATGATTTTTTTTTTTTTTGAGAAGCCATAGATAATATTTTTATTCCAAATAAGAAACTTTATTTAATTCATGAAGTTACTGAAGTATATAGTTCATATAGATATTATAATTTTCTGTCTCACGAAACGTCCGAATATAATAATATTCGAGTATTCGCTTGTAATCAGAAGCTTGAGGAATTAATTTTACTCTAAAATTACATTACAGAAACTTAAATATCTTAATAGCATAGTAACGACGTAGTAATTACATAACTATATACTATCGAATTTAATTGTAACTATATACATAGTTACTATGCAGTTACTGCGCATTAAGAGATTCAAGTTCTGTATAGTAGTAGGTCATAATAATTTAGTCATAATTTCTGGTATATAATGAATAATTATTTTTTTGAGCCTAATTTAATCTTCTACGTGCGGGAAAGGATATTATGACGAAGTATCATGAAAAAATTTATGTATCGGCAATGATACAAGCCGGTAATGCCGTTTGCATTTTTAGCAAATCGTAATTTTGATCATTAGACCGTGATATTTAAAATTCATACTAAGAATATCAGATACCAGTTAATTAGATGAACCAACCAACCCTCTTACTGGAAGATTTGAAATCACTTCAGATTATAAAATTATGCATAATGAGCACAATATTAAAAATTATGGGTTTTGATCGACTGTTTATATTGTAAAAATGTGAACAGTTTTTTTTCTGCTTGATCTTAAAACCATAATTGCCAACTAAATTTTTTATCCAAGCTTTTATTATTTAATACTTTCAACTTTGTCATGATATTTCTCTCCTTCGTGTTATTTACCATTCACAATTAAACTTTTCAAGGACTGAAGATGCATCTTGTACATCTTTTTGAGCCTTTTTTCTCATATACCTAAAGATATTTGGTTAATCTATAATCTACTAATAAATAAGTCAAATAATCAATAAAAGTATATTACCAAATAGGACAATCTCTAGAACTGCACAGAATGTCTTGATGCAAACTTCCTTGACACCTTTGGCATTGAGTCCACAACCGGGCAAAACGGGTTTCGAATTCATTAACAGTAGCCAACTATCCATAGTAATTATTACAAACGCACTCGCAATCAAAACAACATTAGCATTTAAAATAGATTCATACTTGTTTCTGATATAATTCACCTAACTTCGGCTTGCAATGGCGACATACCACCGTACCTGCTAAAGGCAAGATTAAGGATGAGCTTCATAAATTTGTCTCAGATTTATTTTGCAATTTAAAAGTAATTACAGATATACCATCTTTTGTTAAAGGAACTTTACAACCCAAGCATGTTGGAACTATAACTGCAAATTTCATTAGGCCACCAATTGTTGGTGTTGTATGTTGAACGACGCGTGTATGATCACCAGACACTTAAGTAGATAGAAGAAATCAATTATAGGCTAGTACTACTCTCAATAAGTTATAATTCCATAAAAAAACTCACGTAGAGATTCCGCTTTGTCACCTAAAATAGGTTCAAAAATTCGTAACAGTGGTTTAGATAACTGGTTTTCCAAGTAATAACTAGTGTCAATTGGTATGTTATTTTCTAGCACATATATTGGATCTTCTGACTTTTCGTAAGCGGCTGCGCCTATATAATTTTATTGGCCATCATTTAGGACACGAAAAATAAATATCTGCTGATGCTGAAATTTTGCTATCAAGTAGATCATTTGACCAAAATTAAAAATTTAAAGTAAGGCCATACGAAATTAATTAATGTTTATAACCTGGTCGGGTCTTTTTTTTGTAAAAAAAAAAATCATAATTAATTTTGTATGACCTAAGTGCATTATTACTGTTTTGATACCAAAAAAATTGTTTAATATTTTGCACTAGCTCAAAATCATTAGTAGCAAACGAGAGTATGCAAAATATTAAATAATTTTTTCAGTATCATTTAGAAAACAGTAATTAATGTACATAAGAAAATTTTTTATAATATTTAAGTTTAGTAATATACTTGCTGTTTATAGATTACTGCAATAGCTATTATAGATTTCAGCATCAGCTCCGACGATGAAATAATTACAACGAATATTGAGAACCATTTACCTTTGGTGCCCTTTATAATAACATAAGCCACGCGGTCTCCTAGTGTTGGTGCAGAACCTTTAATCAAAATAAATAAATAAAAATAAATGCTTTACGATCAAGTAATTGGCACGACTAACAGGTCAAAATATTATTTACCTGGATCACGTTTGCGCATACGTTCAGCTAATTCTACATGCGGTTGTTTAGCAGAATAGTCTAAATAAAAATAAATTAGCTCAAATATCGATTTCATAAAACGTCTTATTAAATGCGACCGTTAAACATACCAGATTTACTTAAGGCCTTGGTTATCACAAGTTGAGACATATCAATTTTGTTTTGAAGCAAATCAGAGATGATTTTCTTTGCATACCTACAATTGCAATGAGAAGATTATATACCGAAATTTTCATAATATAACAAAAAAAAAAGTTACATACGCCACAGCTCCAGAAACGTCTCGATCAATTAACACTTTTCTTAAGCATGTTTCGATTACATTCTGAACAAGTAGACAGTTGTCACGTCTAACTGTCTATTTATTTAAAGATTAAAAAACACAATCACATTTAATGATTAATAAGTAGCCTGTGAAAAAAACCTACCTCAATGCCTTTGGTGTCTAATTTATCCCACTTTTCAGGATTTGTCCAATATAGGCCAGCATATCGTTTTTTGTTGATTAACAAATATGGAAAATATACTTTTTCGAATTCTAACTTTATTGGCCTTAGAAATTTCCCTGTGACATATTCAGCCGCTTCTTGACCTAAATTTTTATTTTCAGCTAGGTTTAGGATTTTAAATCAAGATGAACAAATTCGAACAAAAAAAACTACCAAGTTTCATAGATTCGACTAAATTGTCTACACCGAATTTAACCATGACAGAATCGGTATCACCGTAAATAACTTGAACATCATGTTTATAGCCATTTTCAATAGTAAATCGACTTTCTACTTCCTGCAATTATCACAATAGTGTCTTAAATTTTTTTCAAATAATTAATATCTACACTGAAACGAATAAGTAAGCAATACAAACCCGCTTGGTTTGTTCAATCATTTGACGTCCGTACGCCGTGACACTTGCTGATATTTCAAGGCAAGGCATTTGACCTGCTGATGCGCCAGTAAAGCCATAAACTGAGTTTGCGCTAATCTATTGAAAAGAAATTTAAAGGTGTTTAATGGAACTATGCATGCTATCAAAATATTCTTATTGCTTAATTAAATACCTTTAAAGCTAATTGACGCCCATCTAAAACTGCTCTTTTAAAGGGATCAGTCTCTTTTTTGAGATCAGCTTTTGCTTTTTTACGTGCAGAAAGTAAATCTTCAAGAATAGATGGTAAAAGACCCTTTCGAACTTCTGCTTTCACGAACCGGGCTAAAAATAGCAGTTATTGTAATGTCAAGTTGGAAGATATTTTTGAAGATCAAATTACGAGTAATCAATATGCCACCTGACTGATATGGCGTAATTATGTAGTCACTGTCATTCTTTAATTTTAAATTTTCTATTTCCCTTTGATCTATCAACGTCGTATAGCAAAGATTGTGCGCCATCATAATTGATGGATATAATGAACTAAAATCAAGGGTTGCGATTGGAACATTATAAAATCCTTTTTCTGGATCAATTACAGTTGCACCTTCAAATGGTTCATCGGTCCCTATAAATCAATTATTAATGAAATATAATTTAATGTTGAATCTATAACATATATGCAACCCCAAAAAAACGACATACCTTCTACGTTTTTTCGAGCGGGTATAACGAAGTCTTGTTCAATTGCCTTTCTATACAATTGCGAAATAACTTTAATTTGCTGACCGCGTGATAAAAGGTAGTTGAAAGGCACACCGGTCACACGGGCCATTTCCAAGTAATTAATCAGACACATGAGCTTATCCATAAGTCGTTGAGGCAGGTAAGCATCCTAAATATATGCTCAATGGCTTATTAATGGAATAAAGCTAAGAAAATTAACATAGTAAATAATGATAATGAACCTTTAAGCAATAAATTGCTAAACGACGTCGTGTCTCGGGGTTCCCGTTGTGTAAATCTGTGATGATAGAATGGTGGACATCTTCTTTTTGTTCGCCTATTTCAAAAGTGTGACATTAACTGGCGTCTATAATTGAAATTCAAACAAATAAATTATATCCACCTAAAAAATGAGCACAGACAGAATTAAGGGTATATGACCTAAGCTTGTGGTCACGTTGCATAACCTGTAGCATATCAAGTTGAATTCTTCCGTCAATATGTAGCATTAGTTAAGAACAAATATTATTTCATATAATTCTTTTATAATAGAATTTTTCAGTAAAAGGATATTGGTTGATTTGTTTTCCCGAGTTCCATATGCTTTTGAAGAAAATCTAGTATCCCTGACTTCAACTCTAGTACCTTAATGAATTGCAAAATTAATGAATATTAAATTTTTATTTTATTTTAGATAACATAATTATGTAATTACTTTTTATCCGACCAAAATACGGGAATTTTGTAACTTTCAGATGAGCAGCTCTATCAATTAGATACGGTAAATCAAAATTCGCGATATTATATCCGATTATAACATCAGGGTCAGCCTATTATGTGTACCGTTAGAAATGATGCTAATAATAAATAATACTCCTTGTAAATGACATGAGTCTCATACCTCGACAACGAAGTCGCACCAGGCCTGTAGCATATTACCTTCATCATAGTATTCTAAAACGTCTGTCGCAACAATTGGTGCACATGAATTTAACGTAAAGACATTTCTAATGATGGGGTTCTTTTCACCTAAATAGAATTGAATATGACAATAAGAGAAATAGTTTTCAATGCATTAAAAAATTATTCTATTTATTCAACCTTGAATTGTGACCATGTTGGCAATTTGAATTACGGGATCTTGTGCCGCCTCAGGAAATATTCCTTTGCGTCCAGCACATTCAATGTCAAAACTCAAAATGCGTAATGGAGCGATTTTTAACCAATTCCCTTCGGGCGGATGACTAATAAGTTGATCATATCTATCATATTGTGAAGAATATAATTTATGAATATTGAAAAAAAAATGAAAAAAAAATCCGTATATGAAATGAATAAAGATACCTAGTAATAATTTCTAACTGACAGTGTGAAAATCTTTCATACTCTGCACAAAATCGATAAGATTTTGGCGGCAATTCGATCCAATTAGCCCCAGTTACCTGAAAAGTAAATTGTAAAGTTTGATATTTAGTACACATTCCAAATGTAACCAGATTTATTGTCGAACACTAACCTTACAATCAATCATGAACCGCAAAAGATATTTAAGATTACTCTCAAATGTTATTTCTCCGACCCTTCTACCTTTATAGGTAAAACTCCCATCCTCAATTATACGCCTAGCAATATTTAATATTTTTGTATCGACAAAGGAAAGTTTGAGGAATGGGCACTTTTTCTTTCCGTGATATCCTTGAATGGTTTCTTTAAGTTTAACTTCAACCTTATTCAATAATTCCCGCCCGCTTGAAGAAGTTTCTTGCTGAAGAGCTAGCTAAAAAATTGACGATATTTTAATAACTCAAAATCATTGATAGCCATTTAATGATTTGATCATTACTTCGAGACTAGACTTGAATTCAGCAATATCGCCACTTTTAAATCCATTTGGTGCTGGGACGTAAAAATAAGGCAGAAATCCCTTGACATAGCATAAAACACTGTTCCCTGCCTAATAATTTAGAAGAAAAGTTAGTAAACTATTTTATTAATCGACACTGTCACAATTTCTGAATACCTCTGTCAAGCCAAACATACGAATCATCGGCGATCTGGATGCAGAATTAGGGTCGATGCACTCATCGATTTCGATTTGCTGAAATACTGAAAATTTATTTAGAAATTCAGTAATCACTAAACATACAAATCACTCTCGTTATAGTGAGCTCTCGATATAGTGAGCTTAAAATCAAACTACATAAAATTCTCTTGACATGGTGAAAATAATCAAACCCTCGAATGATTAGCTAATAAACTGAACATTTCATTATAACGGGAATAACGTATTATATTTATGTACTTATTGAATGTTCTTCGGAGTTTATGTGTGGAATACTTGGACGAGCCCAGATTTGGCGTGTTCTGATTGATTCCACTAGATGCTGGTTCCTTTGAATATCCATCACGGCTGTTCAATAAATATTCACGAGTTTTGATAATAAAATGAATATATGAATACGCGTAAGAAAATTCACGGTCAAAAAATCACGATCACTATCACGTGATAGTGTGGTACTATTATTAGATCTGCGGTTACTTTTTTGGTAGGTCTGATTTACCCCCTAAATTGAGGTGGCGTTCTTGATGCATCAATTTTCTATAAAATTTCAAGAATTCAAGCTAAGATATCTCAACGACCACCTAATTAAAATCAAATAATTTTTTTATTTT